TACTCGATGCGACGAAGATAAAACGAGCAAGAGCAGTCGCCCCCCCCTCCTTTCCTCCCTCTCCTATTTTGTGCTGCAGTTTCCTAGCAACATGAGGCTGGAGTGGAAATGGTGAAGTGATGCTGCAGCATTTTATGAATGAAACTGGAAAAAGCAACGAGCCAGAGTGGGGAGGGGAGAAGACGGGCCGTTTTTTTCCTTTTTCTTTTTTCCTCCTCCACTGCTGTTGCTGTTTTCCATTCTCTGCGAGTCGAAGCAGAAAGGAGCTGGAAGGCGCAGGGATAATCAGAAAAAAACAACTTTATTTAACCTCGCCGTTGATAAAAATGATTAAAAGAAAAAAACATGGAGGTATATAACATATAGTTATGCAGTACAAAATTAAACAATGCCCTCTCCAGAAGGCAACACAAGCGCTAACTGACATTATTTACAAAGAGACTTTTAAACCGCAGAACTTGACATTAACATGGGATCCGGTTCTCCTGTAAACATCAAATTCAGTGGCTTTTAAACAAATGGTGGACTAACAAGGGTTTGCTCAAATGTGTGGGTTTTCTATTGCGAGTCAAAACTAACACCGGGGCTGTGCGACCTCTCGGGAGAAGACTCAATATTTTTTCTCTTGAGAAGCACCAGATGAGATCATATTTTTTGCATAATGAAAAGACTGAACTGTATAAAGCTTGTGCTATATGTACAGTGATGCAGAGGTCGATGTCCAATGCTAGAAAAGAAAAGAAAAAACATGTGGTTGGAGAGGAATCAGTGTGTCTCAGGGAGAATATTAAAGTATGACAAAGAAATAATAAATTAAGGCATTTCTGGCTGTGCAGATCTACGAGTATGAGAAAAAGAAGCATACAAGAGAAGAACCGATGCTGGCCACACCCATCCCATGAAATGGGCCACACAAGAGAAAAACATGTCCCATGTCGTTTTGTCCTTCAAATGTCCACATGGGACGTCCATGGTCTTATAAGAAAAGTTAGTGATGTTTAAGAATGTAAAGGGAAGAAGAGCTCCTTGCTCATCATCAGGACCGCTACATGCAGTCCATGGAGTTGTCCGGCATCTGTCCAAGAGCTGGCATCTTTCCTGGCATGCAGGACGGGGGCAGCATCCCGCCGACGTTCGGGGACGGATCCACGTTTTCACTGTCTTCCATCTTGTCCGCCGAACCCTCCCAGTTGATGTGGAAGCGGGTGACGCGTGGGTTGGAGGCCAAGATATTCCTCTGAAGCTGTGGGGAGGAAAAAAAGATCAGGGGCTTGGTATGCTTGTGCCCTTTAAGTACATAATTTAAGGTAACTGGTAGGTATGGGTGACACTGACAAAAAAATTAACGCAATATTTTTTGCGAGAGTCCCTTCTATGTCAAAGGGATGTATCAATTATCAGGATAGTGTTTGAAATGAATAATTTCAGTTTATAAGGTGGGATTTGTCTCGAAGCAAAGAGTAAATAAAAAAAAGTGTGAATCATAAAGATCTTTGCTTCCAAAAATAACAATAAACCAGACAATTCCCTTAAATAAAAAAATAAATAAAAATAAGATGCAACATCTTTGAATAATGACACAAATCAAGTTCACCCTGCTGTTTGCAGTGTCTATTACAATATGAAATGGTTTAATTAATCGTAGCCCAACATATTTCCTATTAAGGATGCAGTATTTAACTTTTATGAAGATATATATTTATGTATTTATTACAACCAATATGATGATGTGACAGTATAATATGAGACAGATAATCTGTAAAGACAATCGAGCTCCTCTATAAAAAATACAAGCGGGAGCGGTGTGAAATACACCGCTCCTGTTCAAAAACAACCAATCAGGTCCAGATAAGACTGACAGGTCTTATCACTGTCAATCATCCTCGACTACGTGCTGCTCTGTGTGTTTAAGGATGGAAAACTAACTTACTGTCCCATCATCGGTAGTCATGCTGACTAGCCTACGCCGTCACTCCGGTGTGGAGAACTAGCTATAGCGCAGTAAAGAGCACGAGGCAGGTTCTGAGCAGATCATACATAAGCATGATTGACAGTGCGAAGATGCCTCCTGGTTGTTTCTGAAGATAGCTGCAGGATCTCTGGAGCTTCATTTTCCCCCACAGATTTTCCGTTTCATATCATGTTGTTTAACAAATATCTAAAAAAACCCATATTGTTTATATAAGTTATATACTTTGTAACTGTAAGTCACATATAATTTAATGACCATAAGTACCACAATCTTTAAAGAACTTTTTGTGAATAAAGAAAAAAATTCAAGACATCTTGAACTAACTCCTCTGCAGAACGTATAATCGAAGTTCTGTTTCTACCAAAACAGAACTTTTATTTACTTTTCAGTTTCACCAATGAACATGTAAAAAAAGCACTTCAACACTGTTTGCACAGTGTTAAAAGTCAACTGCTAATGAGTAAGAAAAAAGGCAAAGAGTGAATGTTTAATTATATATCACTCTGTTATCAGTGTAAAACATAAAACTTCAAAAAGTAGACGTTACTGTATTAATGTAGACATAAAACGAGGGGTCCTAAGAATGATCTCTGGGGGTCACCGACAGCTAGTGACCTAGAAGTGACATCATCTGCCTGTAAACATCGTTGTCTTTAAAATAATGGTGCAAGTGACAGAAATCTTGTTCTGACAAGTGTTGCATATTGTTGTTGGTAACTGTGTAAAGTTTAGTTATACCTATTTTTATATTTTGTACTGCTGACACAGTAGTATCTAATAATATTAGCAAAAACAGTTGTGCATTTGTGGGAACGGTTTGCTAAAATCAAATCAACCAAAGTGGATCTTTCAGGGCACTTGATATTTGGGACACAGTTAGAATGAGATTTAACCTTTCTAGACACATATCCAACTTAAGATCACATAAAATACAACTTCTATCAAAATCTAAACTTGGTAATACCTGCGTAAAAACAGACGTTTTCAGAGTAGAAAAATTTAATTATTACACAATGGGAGATAGGAACCGTTCCACACAAAAAATTCCTTTTCGAGACACTAGAGGGCAGCAGAAAGCTACACTTTACTAAAATCTTCTTAGAAGAATGAGCCATTTAAATACAATATAACCTCTGTTAGCTACCTGAGCATAGTCTGGCTTTAGAGGGGGGTTTTCCCGCAGCTCTGGATCTGTGTATTCATTGTTGACATAATAACCGATGCGAATGAACTCCTGTCCGCGGTAGGTGCAGGTTATGAGGACTACCGTCACTCCCACAGCGTCCGTCTCTGGAATCAGACCTGTATTAGGAGCGTCAGCCTGTTGGGTTGAAACAGAGCAAACAAAAACATCAACTGAGAGTTTATTGTCCCACAATGTAAAATCAAGTACTTGGGAATAAAAACAGGGACAAAGTTAAGTTGCAGCCTCAATCAGAGTTTTGTAGATTAGCTTTGACTGTGAGGAATTCTGATTTCTCTTCTGGACATTAAAGCATGAAAATGTAAGAGCAATTCAAATGTATTGCTTTTCACTCTTCCTGTTAAAAGCACTCAGTAGTTATTTTTGAACCAGAGGTAAAGCCGTGTGCGACTCAACAGCACACGGCTGTATAGCAGGGGTTTGCCATTTTTTTTTAGATAATATTATGAAATTACAAATGATACACCATTTGGCCCACTTAGCAGGGCTCAAATCACAAGAACCTTAACATATGTATGTATTTTCTTGAGGATAAAACCGAGCAATGTTATGTGCAATGTTTAACTTTCACGATATCTGTTTAAAAGCCTTGCTCTCTCTCACTTTCTTGCAGCCTGAACGAAGAGGAGGAATCGAGAGACATCTCACCTCTAAATAATAGTTTTATTATAAATGGTTTCTTACACTTGTATTTCTTTCAACTTTAAAACTCTTGCTAATGCTGAAAGTAGCTTTGAAAAGTGCTGATGGCTGCACTTATTTCGTGTTCACAGATTTAGTAAAGCTTCATCGGTTTCCAACCTGCAGGTCAGCTGTACGGCAGCCAGATGACGTCCTGTTTCACTGGTTTGTAATATAAAATTAGACAAGAAACATAGTCTATGGGGAACTCACCTGAAACACAAACATATGTCTTCCAGCTGGAACTGGACCGACCAAAACAGAATCTAGAACCTGGTCGTACTCTTCACTCTCAGCAGAACCAACATAGATGATCTTCCACTCCAGATCTAATAGAGAGAGGAAGGAGGTGAAGGGTTAGGATATTTTCCACAAACAAAACTAAAAACAAGAGTTAAAATTCTAATTGCAGCTCGGTACTCAGTGCTTGCACAAAAATATGCAACTCGTCCTAAATAATATAGTTTTAAAAAGAAAGCAACTGTTACTCTTACTGTTGCCACATAACATTTTAATGAGGTAATCTTCATAATATATTTATTTTTGTAAAAAATATATTGTGAACCAAATCTTTAAGAAAAATCTGCCACATTTAGAATTAGTTTTACAGCAGCAGCTCAATTTATCTTTCTCATATATATAAGAGAAAAGACTTAAACATTTCCAAAAATAAGAACATGCTTACATTTATAAACAGATTTACATCTAAAAAGGATGCCAGCTGCTGACATGCAGCAATGTAGTTATAGTTATTGATTATGATTAAAAACATCTTTGACTTGATTTTAACTCACATATTTATTTATTTTTTTCAAAAAATACAACTGGAATTAATCTCAGTTTATAGACTGAATTAAGACAAATCATATATTTAAGTGAAAACTCAAATATAACTGCAAATGGATGGTTGATGAGCAGAAGATCTTGCATCTGATTCTTACTGGTTCTGCTTTGTTTTAAATTAAACCATGTTATGGTTGGTTTTCGTGGTTGCATTTTCACACATTTTGCAATGCATTCTCTCCAACCGCAGCACACAGAATTGGAAAGAAACGACAGAAAATAATTCTCAAAAAACGAAACAAGTAAACAAATGAACAAACGGGAGATTACTTCTAAAAAAGGCACAGCTTATTACTGGGTATTTTAATGCACAGCAGGAATTTGTATTTCGCGGCAATTCTTTGACATACAAATGTAATGCCGCCAGCCAATCATCTTGTCGGAAAACACTGACGTACTGGTAAACGAGCCAATCAGTTGCAGCAGAAGGCGGGCTTGTCGGCACAAACGCGCCAGCGCCAATTTTTAACAGTTGGCATAAAGAAACGCATACAAGCCGTGTAAAGCATAAGGTAGCAGGTATTTTCGGGTGAACTAAAACGCATACACGCGACGTATTTACGTGTTACGCTTTCTCACGGTGACGCTAACACTTCACAAAAACCTAAGAGCGCCCAAAACTCGACAGCGAAGAGAGACAGTGCGATTTCACCGACAATAAAAGAAAACCCACCTTCAGGTAAATCCTCCATGCATTCAAACGTTATCTCGAACTGAAACGGGTTCCCAAATGGGCTCGGATTGTCCAGAACGGCGACATTTAGCACTTGTACCTTCGCCATGACAGAAAATTAAGACGCACTTCAACTTCGACGATTAATTTGGCTGCAAAGAATCCTAAACTGGAACTAGACCGGCTGCCGGGTCGTGAAGTTAAAGTTGAAGCCTTTATTCTCAGAGAACACCGACACAACCCGTCGGTGTCCTGGCAAGAGGAAGTGCGTCACTTTTTTTTCTTCTCCGCAGATGACGCATTCATGAATAATGTGCTGCAGCCCCCTAGTGTTCATTTGTCAAACAGCGGCTAAAAATCTCAGGCAATTGTATTTCTTGTTTCCATATTCTGCTTCCGTGGGCCAGTACTTAATCCAGGTCCGCTCACCGAGTACATATTGGTACCTGATAGAAAATGGAAAACAGAAAAAAGTTCACATTTAAAATCCTAACAAAACTACACAACTAACAAACGGATGGTCAATGACGACCCGGGTAAACTTACGAATGACTGGATTCATCAGCGTAAATATCTTTGGAGGTGCCCCGGATGAGATAATTTTGACCTATTTTTATGTCTAAAGCTTCTCTGCAGTGTTGGAAACTGAGGAATGTGCGGCTTTTATTCTGACATATGCAAATACATTTGCATGTTCTTCTGTCCCTCTTGTAATGCCACAGCCACAGCTGACACTGTCCTTCTCTGCTACTCATCAGCAACACTGCTAAACTTTATAGCACTTTTGCAAATTCATAGCGTTGTAACACAAATTCAATTAAAAAATATATATTTAAGAACAGTGCTGAACATGTAGAAAGTGGTTTATTGATTTCATTTGAATTTTTTGTGTGAAATGTATGTCATATATTTCACTTTGAACATACTTTCTCAGAAGATGCTTTTCTTTGCAACACAAAAGTTTTTCCTGGTCTGCCAGTATGGACTGATTTTAGTTAATCAAGCAGATAATTTACGCACATATAGTGTAACATGGTTGATAGACTGCCTTTAATGTTCTGCGTGTCCAAAAACAAACACACCATTTGCCAAGTCTGAAATGGGATGGAAGAGTCACGTAGGTAGGGTTTGAACTACTAGTACTTAAATTTCAATCCAACACATTTCACACTTAATTAAGAAATCATCCCACAATAATGTTTATTTTGTTTTGACTAGGAAATTGCTATATAAAGTATTAGGTTTTCCAAAGTAGCATTTAATTATACGTATTTATTGCATAAATTATACCAAAACACCATAACAGGTCTGAAAAAGGATCTAAGTTAATTGTAGAACTGTAGGATGAAATCAGGTTTTTACAAAAGTTAAAAGCCAGCGCTTTTTGGAGACTTGGAATAAAACATCTGAAATCACTGAGAAACACTTTAAAACCAAACTGTTGAAAATTGCGCCGTCTGAATCTTGCACCATTCTAATTTTAATATGCATCAAGGGTGAAGACAAACTGCAGAAAATAATTAAATTAAAATCTTGCAAAAAAAAAAAAAATAAATAAAATTGGAGTTTAATTGTATTCCTTTATTTTGGCTAACATCCATTTGCATGTGTGCTTAAAACAAGAGACAGTTCCTGCAAATACACTTGCATGTTCTTCGTAACAATTTTAAGGTATACCTTACACATTAAACATCAACTTATAAGAGCCCTTTGTTAGTGACAGTTGATGTAAAGTATGAAAACCTCACTTTACAAGGTGGAACTGTGTTTGAAGAAAAAAAAAACAATTATCAAGAAGGATTTCAGAATAAGTAGCAAGATAGCTAACTTTTCATTTTCTATTTCTTCATCATACATCCAAAGTCTAACATGTGAGCCTCCAATAACTCCAAATCCATACAAACAGGACGATGGGCTTCAGTCTGGCACTCTTCTCTGGTTGGCCAGTACTCGACCCAAGTAGTCTCACCAATTATGTACCGGTATCTGAACACAGAAAAGGAAACGACGCATTGAGTTTTCACAAATAAGGATTTTGGATGGCTATGCTTTATACAAGGACCAAGTGGGTCAGAGTATTAAACAGTATATGTTAAGATGACTTTTAATTTTTATGAAATGTTTGAAAGAAAACATTTCCCAAACTTTAGAAGTATTTTGGCTGTTTATTAGCAAAATGTGAGAACTTATCAAAGCAAGTTGGGTTCAATTCAAAATCACCTCACATTTCATGAAAACATTTTAAATCTTATCACCATGAAAACTGCTATGAGCCTCACAACAATTAATTAGAATAAGTCTCCTGTCGATTTTCCCCAAAAATGTGAAGACTTTTGGCTCTGCCAACTTAGTCTAAATAGTGTAGACTAAGGAGGGTCTACGCTAGACACAACTTAGTCTCGGGAAATTGAAAAGTAGTCTTTTTTTCTTTTATCTTGAAATGAAACCCATTTGTCATTTATTTAACTTGCTGAAAAATCTGAAACAGTGTATAATCTTAGGTTCAGCAAGAAATCCTATTTCCCTAAAAGTCAAATAAGCCTCTTCCTCGCCAGTTCTGCTGCTGTACCACCACAACCCGGAATTATACAACCCTTACAACATACAACAAACTTACGAGGTGCCAACGATGTGAATATCAGACGATGTACCCATGATCAGGTAGGTTTTGCCCGGTGTCAGACCTAGCGCCTCTCTGCAGTGCAGATAAGTAAGGAATGTGCGGTGTTTGCCCTGTGGACTCTCATCAGTCGTCCCTGTGCAAGAAAAGGTGTATTGGAAAAGAGAAAGCAGGACACAAGAACTGGCATAAGTACAACATGCATTCAGGATGTGCCCTTCATTGCTCTTACGAGTTCAGTTACTAACAGTAAGGACAGATTCTCTTTGGATTCAAGCACAATCTCTTATGAACCTGCAGTAGATTAAAATAGCAGTCCATACAATCAAAATAAAGAGATAGGACCCACCTTGCTTAAAGGTTTGCAAAATGCTCACATTGTAGGAGTCGGTGGTGTAACTGTCCAAAAAAGCCTCCACTCGTACTTTGTAAACTGAAATAAAGAAAATGTATAAACTGTGATGAGCTCTCACTCAAAAAAGCCTTTAGTAAACATTCACCCATAATTTCACACTATAATAAACACTCTTACCAAAATCTATTTTGCTTGTTTCGTTGGATTCACAAGCTTTGTCAAGACGCTTATCGTTGCTGATTTGCTCTGTTCTCTGTTTACTGCAGTTTTCTAAAAATTAAACAGGAAAGTGAAATATGTCTGTGAGGAATGTGAGAGAGCAAATGTGTCATATAAATTTGTAAAAACGGTTATACTTCATCAACATGTGTGCATGCTGGATTTCAACACGTTTGAATGTGCCTCCATTACTTGGTGAAGAAAATGAACAGCAATACTTTCAATAGTGTTCTTGCATTGTCTTATTTTATAGTACAATTCTTTGCAAGAACACAATTCTATTTTGTGTTGGTGGCACCCCAAACTCTGGGCTTTTTCCTCCATAAGGCTTTTTAGTTTTTCTGCTTACCTATTCATAATTCATCTTGATAAGCAATGTACATTCTTAAGCATAAAGTGTCCAAAAGTAGAAATTGGGGGGAAAAAAATGTTTCTGTCAAAACCTTCTTTGTACATCAACCGTTTTCAAGCTTGCTTACATAAAGCAAGATTGGAGACAGTTGTGTCCTCTTCATTAAATTGTTGTTTTACAATGCACTCAACTAAAATAAAAGTAAAAAATATCTACAAGGAAAAATGCTATCATACTCCTTTAAACCACATTTGTATCATTTTCCACAAAGTCTTAAAAAGGATAAGAAGGAAAAATGATGGAAAGAGCATTTAAAAATGTGCTTTATCATTCCAGCGTGAGTTATGTTGTGATTTATGATTTATAAGCAGCTTAGATAATAACGTTACCTTCAGCACATTGACATGCTTCGTTTTGACAAAGCCTCAATAACTCGCCACTTTTCCTTTGCGGACGGTAGAACTTCACACACCGTTTCTCTGAAGCAACTAACAGAGAAACACGTTACTTTCTACATACCTTTGATAATTCATGAAGGTATTAACCTTTTAAGCATTTCTACATTGACAACACAGATCTTGAATGAACTGCATGCTCTCTGTGGTTTTAGCGCAGACATAAATAGGCTATCTTGTGACAGTAATTTGTTCAGCCTGAGTTGCACTTATTTTTGTGGTTCAGAAACCCACTGTCATAGTACTCGTAGACTGACACGGCAGCAGGTTGCAAGTACTCCACTGTCATGCTTTGTTCTATCTTGAAAGAGATTTCTTCATATCTGGTGTTGGGAACCTGTGAGAAGAGATAGTCGTTAATATCATAACAAGTGTGTGTGCTTGGTTTGACAATGCTTAAAAACTGAAATTCAAATGTAAAACATTTTGAATTCAAAACAGCCTGAGACACATTCTTACCTTAAGCAGATAAATGATCAGGGATCCCTTTTCGGAAAGCTCTTTGTTTACCTCATATGCACTGATGATGCGATCGCGCCCTTTAGACAACTACACAACCAGCGGATTTAGAAAAGCTTATGGTTAGCATTAGATCTGATTCAGGACAATTCGTTTTAACTCCCATGTTTGTGAGCAACTCTTACTGCATCCAGGTCATTTTTGTTAAATTTGTAGCCTGTTGGTAAACCAATATCCAAGATTGACATGGACGCATCGCGCTCCGTGTTTTTGTACCTGCAGGAAAAAAAATGTACAAAAAACATTTAAGAGAAACACAGAATCTTATGAATATCAGTAATCCCTCAAACAGCAACACAAGCTTTTAAAACTATTTGCATCCCACCTGAAAAAAGGGAAAATGCTGATATATCTGATCAACAGGCCACAATATGACTTAGCCTACTAACCACCTCTGTGATGCAACACGAGTCTGTAATAGGAAGTAGCTAATTCAGCATTTTGCAGCGTCTAGATCAGGGGTGTTCAATACGTTGATCGCGATCTACCAGTCGATCGCGGGGAGGTTTTGAGTCGATCTCTGCAGCAGGTGGCAAACTGAAGACCTCCAGGACGCTGAGAGCAGCACTTCCTCCTCTGACAGACTTTTAAAAATATTCACTAAGATCCATTAAATAATAATAAATCGTAAAGTAACGTATATCGTAACGGACTGAACGTTTTTAACGTAATCTTTGCTCGGCTTGCGGGGCGTAGGCGGTTGCCACGGCAACGGGTGTGCTTAACGATAAAGAGAGAGAGAGAGTAAAAAGGTGCGAGTGGTTCTGAGTTGATCACCTGTTCGGGTTATTCTACCTTTGTTTACCTTCGCTGTGGTTCATCACAGCCGCTGGAGTTTCTGAACGTTCAATGAACGACAGACTTGGACTAATTACCTCGTTCGTTTGCAGTAAACGTCACAACCAACATCAAATAGGACACATATATTTGATTAAGTTTTAACAAACAAATGGCTTCTACCACAATAATTGTGTCAAATTACATTAATTATATCCCAAATTCAGAAGATTTGCCTTTACCTCTGCAGAGCTCTTTGGTTCCTCCTATCAGTCTGCAGTTTCGCATACTGACGTCATCAAACCAAATTTCGGAGCTACCATAACTGACTGACACCTGCTGGCCTCAGGTTTGCAACCAGCTTCTGACTGAGAAACCAGTAACCTGCTCCCAGTGTCAGAATCTCACTGAGGAAGAAACTGCATTAGGTTTTCTATCACTTTATCATTTCTGATATAACTGATGGATATTTGCATAGAAAATTAGTCAATAGGGTTTCATTTATAATTTGTATGTCTTCGTGTCATGAGGTAGATCTCAGCCGGCTGGTGAGAGAAAAAGTAGATCTTGGTCTCAAAAAGTTTGAACACCCCTGGTCTAGATACACAGCCAGAGTCTTTATGGTGCTTCTCAGGCTATTCAATGCAACATGAGTTGCTAATATTGCAGTTGTGTGAACTTTAATAGCCAGATTGGAAGTTAAGGTTAGGATCAGGATGTTTTCTTCTTTTGCGCCTTAGATAGCTTCTTGTATGTTGTGTTGCACAAATTGTTTCAGTTTAGTCATAAAAGTGCCAAGTGAACTGACATTTAATATGTTCCTATATAATATGTTTTTAATTAAAATTTTATAGGAACATTTAACTGAGCTTGAATAACACTAAAGCAGTGGCGGTACTCACTTAACTTCTATCTTGAGCTTGTACACTCTTTTATTTTCTTCACTGCTTACTGCAAAAAACAAATATGATAACAGTTACATTGACAAAAAAATAAAAAATAGGGAAGACCTGCTTCCCTTGCTTGCCCCAAATAATCAAGCATTGAACAAAGACAAACAGACAAATGACGGCACCTTCAATAAGCTCCAATTTTAGGTCAAACATCTCACAGTCACTCTCCTTTTCTGTTGGTATTGCATAATAGAGTGATATCATCTGAAGCACAGAAAAAAAAAGAACTGTTACAGCCTCAGAAAGGTTTTGATGACACAGCACAATGAATTTCAACCTGTCTTTCTCTGGAGTAAATCAGCTCAGCATCAACTTTGCTAATGCTGACACAGCATCTTCAAAAGAAGGGATAATAGCAATTGAGTAGGGCTGGGCAACATCACAGTATTCACCATGACACCAGTTTTTTTTTAAAAAAACAGTTTTTTTGGGGAGGAAAAAGAATTTCACAAAGTTGTAGTCGTCCACAGTAGAAGGAGGGACAGGGTCTCTGTAAATGCTGTAAATGCAATTTCTTGCATTTACAGCTGATGGCCAGTAGTTGATAGAGTATTTTATGATGGTCCGTGTGCATTTATGACATAAAAATCCACAAGAAGCACAGGAAAATAGTCCATTGTAGTGACCACTGTAGTAAAATTGAGTATGGTGCATCTTAAAGCTTTCAAAATGACTAAAAGTAATTACTGGTTCTCTATCCTAGCTATAAAATAGTTTATGATTCCACCCATGCTTCAATAAGGTCAAGCTTTATTAGAGGGAAAAGTTATGAAAATGAGAGCATTTATAATCTCATTAGTGTACATAAATAGAGAAAAAATACATTTTCAAAAACAGTGAGTTATACTTACATTAAACATTGCTTCTCCTGTCCCTGTTGCAGTCACTGCGACATCCTTATTAATGCCGTCAATCTGTTGGGGAAATGGAAAATTGCGTATGGAAAAAAACAAAAAATATATTTATGCTCATTAAATAGGTCATTTTAACTCCAACCTGAACAAATTTGCTTGGTAAATTCAAAACATAAAGGACGAATTTGAAGTAACACTGGTCTCAATGAGTGGTTATCTGATCCACTGTTGCCTTTCTACCAACTCGCAGTCTGCTCACTGTATATTCCTAAAACTAAGGGATCGTTCTGCACAGTTCAGAAACTGTTGCCGCTGGAATGATTACTGTAACCAGCCCTTTCTGAACCTGAACCAACTATGTTACCTCTTGAATGGCTTTTCTTTTCTTCTGATGCAATAGTTTCAACTTCAACAACTAATCAGGTTCCCATGTCAAAGTCCACTGAGTTTCTTACAATTGTTTGAGCTTATGCATCTGATAAAAAGGTCAATGAGTTTATTTTAAAGGTTCCTCAAAAGAATCCATTCAAAAACCTGCATAAGGTTATATTTCACTGTGGTACGCCGGGTTTGTTTTTCGGTCTGATGGTGTTTTTTTTTTAGATTTTGTACTGAACCTTAGCTTGTCACTTTTAAGTGACAAAACCCCAGAATGTGTCCATTCAGAAAAGCAGTGGTTTTCACTCTTGTTAACAGTTTTCATCCATCTTCTCACCTTAGATGTTCTAGTGGTGTAGTGATTTCGATTGTTAAAGCTTATCTTGTTCATCAGTGATCTGCCTTTTACTGATATGTCCACTTTTAGATCAAAAGGAGGCTCATTCACAGTGGAGGCATACTCTGCCACAGCCTGATACACCATTATAGTAGCCTGGAGAAAAATATATAATTCAACATCAAAACATCAGATGAAACAAAAAAGAGGTCTGAAATTTTTCATTACAAAGTTGTTGACTCATTGAGAGTTGTGAATTACCTGAGTTGATCCGTAGTTTCCGCCGTACCTTTGCTGTTGGCTGAGCCATCGTACGATAGGTTTGGCTTCATCAAATGCCTTTAAGAAACCCCCCCAAAAACAATGTGTTTTATTTGAATGTTTCACTGAATGTATTATATGATCTTAATGCCTTATGGAATTATTTTAATTAATTTTATCTGCTAATTACATAGAATAATCTCTGAGATCAGAGAACACCGTTTGTCTTTTTCAACATTATTTCATCTGGCAAAATTTGTAGGACTGTAGAAAGTTTGAAAAAGGTATTTCAATACACCTGTGGAAGTAGACATGACTTATGAATACAATTTAAATGTGATCTGAAAAGCTAGGTGTTCACATTTTCATTCAAAATCAGTTAGTCTCCACACTGGAGTAAAATATAAAAATCAACTTTTAATAAAATGTTTGAAATGTGACTATATTTTAGCATTTCTGGTATCTCAGGCATACCGATTTTTTCATGGCTGTTGTCTTGTCATTACAGTTTTGTCAACTGTTGTAAACCAGTTATTTTACACTTTGACAAGAAATGCAAGCAATGTCATAGCAAAACTTTGTGCCATGAGATGCGTCTTTACCCTTTTGTTTAAAAGTCGATTTGAAATCATACTCCTACAGTGCTACTATTTTATGCAGGCCAGGGTCTTTTTGAAATAGTTGCAATTATGTGGCATAAAAGCACAAAATGTGAACATTTTGATAAAATGCTGTGTTCTTGCACTGCCTTTATTCAGTTATATCAAAATGTCCAGCTAGCGACATTATAAAACAGAAATCCCACTGCAACTTTGTGCTTAAAAATGACATAGAACCACAAAAATAAAATCACATATCTATTAATATCTCCCTGCAGTCATCCTTGCCAAGATACTTTGTTTTTTTTTTTGTTTTTTTTAGTCTGCCATTTGTCACAACGCCCACCTGGTCCTTAACAAGTGCAAGAAGAGCATAAGCTGTGGCCTCCAGTGTAGCATCCTTCCCCTTTCGAACAGGCCAGTGGGTTCGATCTGTAAAATACATCCACAAAGTTTTACTACAGTTTGTGTGTGATTAGCCGCTTAATTAGTTGTTTTTGGAGTTTTTCACATGTTTGAAATTATATTTTAATTTTCCAGCAAACCTGGGGCAGAATGCCTGAAGAGAACGCCTTTGTCCAGTTTTTGAAAGTTCACCAGGGCGTATGATGTCAGCGCAACAGCATAAGGGTTGGTGAGTCTGTGCAGTCGTCTTTTCAAGTAGTCTTGTGCTTTTCTCATGCTGTTTTGAAGGCTCTTTTGTAGAAAAACATTATTCACAATAAGTCATGACAAGGTCAAATGTTCAGGGCTTAAATCGGTCCTTTGGAAGTTGTGTTAAGCTCTTTTAAAAAAAATTTCTTGTGGGAAAGTCACCTCCCAATTCTTAAAAATTTTTTTTTACATTACAGCCAACAGCTGTAATGAGTGGTGTTGTCTAAAGTTGCACCAGTAAAACACATCTTGATAAAAAAAAAACAAAAAAAACAACTGGGTTAAAGTTAGCCTTCCTGTATTTATGCTGTAGAGTCCAGTACAGAACAGAAACCAATCGCGTCATCAACTCAGCAAAGTGAAAAAATGGTGACATCCATGGGTGAAAAATATAATAGACATTTTTTGATGTACTTATGAATTTTGGTGTGTCACAAACAGCAACTGTTTTTAGTTAATAGGAAAATGTCAACATATTTAGGTCAACTCGTCCAACTAATAGTGTATCCCTTTAAGAGTCACTGAATATGAGTTACATGGCTCAGCATTAGTAAGATATGCAACTCTACGTTTTTAATGAGAACAGCGTCAGTCACACTGAGACTAAGAGCTTGAAAGAGTTCATTATTTAGCTAAAGAGGAGATAAATCATTTTAATTTATGGTGAAGTAAATGGTGTCTGAAAAAACAGTGTGAAAGGTCTGGAAATGCTGTGTGGAGGAGCTACTCACTGGAATATAGTCGGAACACATTTCACTTGACTCCTTCATGGCAATCAGGCAGAAAGCAGTCATGGAGGCGTCTGAATCTACACCGCCCACATCCCCCTTTTCAAGTATATTGGATACAGAGTTGGTGACATCTTTTCTGTTTTTACCCCATATTTATAAGGCGGTGTTACTTGATGTGTTGTACTCACTATCATACTCTTATCTGATACCTCTCCGACTTCCACAAACATGCCATCTGGTGTCTGGGTCTGAAGAATCAGAAACTTGATAGCACCACATACCATACTGGAGTCAACGTGCACATAGGCTGATGCCATGGCAAACACCTTGGCAACATACGCAGTCAACCTATCCAAGAGAGAGGTGAGAAGAGAACAAAAATAAAAAATAATTTCTCATTGAAATTTCTATAAAATGTGGACTTTTTAAGCGGGCATCTCACCAGGTGGTGCTTGGCAAGAAACTATAAACAGCAAAAGATCCATCGTCTTTACAAAATGAGAGCTGTGTTTGGTGACCTGCAAAAAGTCAACAAAAACTTTTGATGACCTTTGAAGTATCAAAAGACATAGTTTTAAAAAATTATCTGTATTAATTACGATTTTTTTTTACGTTTAGTATGTTGCAGTGACATCATATAAGTAGTATCTGTGCCTAAAAAGGCTCTATGGAGCTTACCTGTTTTAATGTGTTGTATAGCTTCATTGCGCTTTTCAAAGCCCACACTTTCCCATTGGTTGGTTTTGTCCAAATATAAAACTGCAATTAGAGGGAGGGTCATCCTAGCCATGTTCTGCTCTCCACATCCATAGGGCGCTCTAATTAGATTATCCATGGACTCCCCACTAATGACGTTATCCAACAGTGTATTCATCTGCTCAATACCTGTGTTTACAAATAAACAGTGATCAGGATTGGCATTGGAAAACAACACAAGCATCTCTAGAAAAAACCCTACTGCCGTTGCCTCCATTTTTTGTGACTGCCAACATTTGATTTTGACTGAAAGGTTAATTTGGCAACATCTAACACAAAGTGATGAAGATTATGGAGCAGACGTAACAACTTCCTAAAGAGTTAGCTCTTTGTCATACTGACCAAATTGCTTTACACTACAGACACATTCACGCTTACAAATATTTAAACACAGAAACACAGACGAGGTGGAGTGCTGGAATCAAACCTTCAATCTGCTGGGGATGTCACAGTGGAAGGGGGTTTGTGCAGTTGCTTCATAAGAAGAAAGTGTTCAAATCCTACCCAATAAAGGCATTTGCTGTATGGAATTTGCTCTACCCATAGCACCAGAGGGAGGTGCTGAAATATTAGCAACTTTAACTACTATCATTTTTTTTCAGTGAAGCATATTTACTGCAGCAACGTAATGCAATGGAAACCAATATCAGTAGCTTTGTGCACTACTTCCTCTCACCTGTCAAAGAGATCAGAGTGGTCCTCGGTGTATGTGGAACCAGATGGGCCATGGAAATGTTACTGTTAATAACTTCCTCTTGCCTTCCGCCTATAACAGGGAAGAGCAAGACATCAGGTACCATATGCATAGAGATTCCTGTTACTAAAAATAGGTCCAATGACAGCATTTTAGGAATCTACTTTGAATTTTTCTTATTCTTTTATTGAGCCCAAAAGTGTCTTAAGTAGGGAAGATGACAGAAAGGAGAGACTTTCTCCATAAAATGGATATAGCTATGCTGACAGCAAGCACTGCTCCTTTTTCCTGTTTGGTTTTTGTGCCCTTTAACTTCACCAGCCGGTCAATGCGGTGAAGGCAGGGAAGCAATTTACCATAACAGGAAAATTGTTTTTCCCCCTGTTAACAGTGACCAAGCTAAGCAGCTTGAGCATTCATAGCAGGCTCTCCAGTGCCGCACTAGACGAAGCATAGCAGAGAGCAAGTGGGAGGGCATGAGCAGCGCATACATGAGCCTGACTGAGTGCGAAGACCCTCACCCTGATTGGTTGTTTCTGTTTGAGTGCTGTATTTCTGCAGTAAGCACTGGGCATCAGTGACAGTTGAAGCGAGTATTTAATAGCCATATTTTTTTAAGTAACAATTTTAATATCAAATAAATAGCAAAGTGAAATGACCAGCATTAGAAAAACCCATGACAAATCACAATAAAGATGAGGACATAAAAAAGGTCTGGTCAAACGTGTTGATGTCGAATGGCAATTAATTCAATTCTGCATAGTTTCATTATCATAAAACTCCCTTGCAGGATTTGTTTGTGCTGAAGTAGGAGAGGACTCTGAGAATCTTTGTGCACAATGGTCCACTTTCACAAATCGAAAGCAAACATTTAGACTGGCTCCCTAAGCTTACCTTTTCTAGCAGGATCCAGAATTCGTTTTGTTTGCTCTTGCATCAGCACACCTTGAGGCTAGAAAAAGAAACAAGTCAAGAGTAAAATATTCTGTCTTGACTGGATTCCATGTCCATATGTGGGTACTTGCAGTTACCAATACACATGACTAAAGCAAAGTTTTCTGCTGTACCTAATTTTGCTTATTATATGACTTATAAATAACATTTTGTTTTTTTTGATTTAGCATAAATTTCCCCATTGTGCTATAAGATAAAGACATCAAATGAAAAATAAAATATTTGTACTCTTTGAGGGATGAAGTTGATTTAGGTAAATTGGATAGGGAGAAGGAACTTACTAAATGTTTTAAATATTATTTTCTCCAATAAATTTATTTTTCCAATTTCTGGTTTAATCAGTGAAAACTGCCAAAAACATATTGCCTTTAAAGTTTTAACTAAAGAAGGACACTGTACTGATCAAAGTACAATTGCACTTATCAAATATGGAAATTGGGAGGTCTATCTGCAAGATGCTAACAATACGATGCTAACATCTTTGATACTGTCTTCCAGATAGGATGTTTCAGCACAGTAAAGGTGTAGAGCAGGTATTTGTCTCTCTTACCACAACAAGCAACGTCTTTCTGACTCCGTCTGAGAGCTCAGAGCCTCTAACAGACGCTTTGACCTCAATAGGAAAAGATCCATGCTTCATGGGAATAATGATAAAAGGTACAGCTCTTGTAGTTTTGGGTCCGACTTGGACCTCACTTCGAAACCACTTTTTTTTGTAAGCTGCACTGCAAATACTGCTCTCCTCCTTAAGCTCAATGCGTACCTGATGAGCAGATTGAGATTGGGAGTTTAACAAAGGAAAACTCAATCTCACTCATTTAAGAGCAAAGGGCAGACGAAGATAAAGAAAAAAAAGAGGAGTACATATTATTCAATCTTCAACACAGTCTGGAATAGACAGTATTCCAGACACCTCAAACTCACAGTGATGGCATCGTTGTTGTAGTTGTGGAGAATTGCCCTAATTTCCAGTTGCTCTCCTTGAACAGCTGAATAGGGCAGCCTTAGGTCAATAAAGAACGACTTAAAGATAGTGATCTCCAATGGTTTGGCCACACAGAGACCTTTAAAGAAGCAGAAAAAAACACACAAATGAGATGGAAATCAAAAGCCTACAAGAATAATAAAGGGCTTTTCTACTGAAGTCTTAAAAGGCTTCAGTAGGAGAGAGATTTGCTTCTTGTAAACTGTGGTCTGTGCTTTTTGTTGTTCTTGTCAGACAAGCATAAACCACAGTACTATTTTGCATATGTGCAAAAGACATGCCATTTTTATATTCTCATCAGCCCAGACAAGTCTAAATGATCATTTCAGAAATCATAATGATGAAGCTTAAAAATATATATTTAAAGTAGTGCAATGTGACTACAAATATGATGTAAATATCAGTGAGGCATCTTACAAACTTCCCTTAAGTCACTGTAAAGTGAAACAGCAACAAATGTTCACCATCAGTTTTTGACATGCTGATGGCAGTCAGCTGCCACGTCGTGATTGTGTCCGGCAAAGCTTGGGTCATCACAGTCCCACTGTTGGATCAACCAAAACTGTCAGTGAGAAAACATTTATCTGTAGCCACACATTTTCTTCTGCTTCCCTTCTTACCAGTCGGGGTCGCTTGGAGGGCAGCTTCTTAGCGAAATATCCTTCCAAAACCAACTTTCTGGGAATTTGGAGCGTGACACTATGTCATTGGATATCTTGTAATTATCTGTCTCACCTCGGGGAAAGATTAGAAATAAATGATGTTTCCTTGTTTGTTTGTTGAAGAAATGACTTTGAGTAGAAACAAGGGTCAATTGTGTGCTTGTCCCTTACTGCGAGCTAGGTGTAGGACTTCCACCTTCCTCTCGTCTCTCTGTTTTTTCATCTCGTTGCAGCAATGCAGGAAGGCCTGCTTGCATTCTGGACCATCCGTGATGTACTCAGTGCGCCTCTCACAGGTGTATGAAACAGGGATTTCCTTCATACCATCCAAACAGCAGTCCTTTTGTAATTGTTCTGTAAAACCACTTACTGACAAAGACATAAAATGAGGACGCATATGTCAAAGCTTTTCATACATTACAGCTCTCTCTTTATCACAAACCTCCCACAAAAATGAACCAATAACCTGCTAAGTCTTTAATTTTGCACAACTTTCATCTGATTCAGATCATCAATAATTGTTGTAACAATTCTTCACAGAGCCTTACTGCGTCAAGAGAAATGTGTGTGTGTGTGTGTGTGGGGGGGATTAGAAATGACTTTGCAGAGACAATATTGCTTTATAAATATTATAAAACACATATAAAACACGTAGCACAATTCAATAAACAGAGGCATTATTGGCTTGTTATCCACAACTTAACACAGTATTGCCACTAGTATTAGAAAAAAAATGAATTCTTACTTAAGCTAGTTCTGACTTCCATGATGGTTCTTTCTCTTTTCCTCCTGGTGGCAGTGGGGCATTTTAATTCTGGATACAGAAATGTTCAAAAACACAATGTTAATATCAAATTCCACAATGTGAAAATAACATATCAATGGAAATTTCATGTAAAAATAAGAAGTAGATTATTCAAATTGCAGAAATAATTATTATTTTCTGAACCTATTATATATTAACATGGTGTAGATTCAATTGTTCCATGTCTGATGATTAAATTCACACAATAGCCAAACTATAACAAGGCTCAGACTGTTAGTTTATTTATCATCTTTCTTGAAAGAGGACACACCAACAAGCACTGTGAACGTCTTACTGCCCATCACTTTACAACTTTCTGTTTTTTTACAAATCACTTTCTTTTTTAACAAATTTCTTCATTGTTCAATCCTATCGGTTTTGCCGTTGCTTCTTTGTATTTACTCTGATTGTCTTTTTGGTGTGTCACTGGTAATACAAAATTTATGCTCAAACATTGGATTACATAATATGACATAATAAGTATTTTTTTTTATTATGGTTAGATTAACGTTTGTTGGTGCTGATTCTCCTGTTACGCTGGGTAAAGAAACACTGCTCAGCTGCTGCTTGCATAACAGATCCAGCAGAGGGCAGTAGTTGTGATGGTTAACGCTTTCTTCTGCTGATTGTATGTCATAAGCACCTGCTAAGTTGTGCTTTTGTGGAGGAAGGAACATTGTTTACTGCAGAATATGTCTCGGTCAATCGCTGCATCCGATGAGCTTCGTGGATCATAATCTGTTCATTTGTTAGAGTCAGTGGCTTTCAGTCACATGGAGCAGGTAACTGGGCTAGAATATGTGACTAAAACTGAAAACTGACCGATCTCAATGAGTTCTACCATTTTTGAGATCAGTGATCAAATACACTGATAGAATTATGCCAGGATCTCGCTGATACTTTGAAAGAGTGCATAGATTCCCTTTAAACCTGATGAGGAACATGTATCAAAATTAGCAGCTAGGAACTGAGTCCAATTGGTTGTTTCAAGCTTGTGTGGTTATTTGAAAAGTCCACACTTCTTCAATACACTCTATTTAAAAATACCACAGGCGGTTTCAACATTATTCTCAAATACATCAGCAGAAGCACTAACAGGCCAGTGTGTAAGTGCTTGTAAACCGTTTTGGATTTGTAAGGGCATTCCTTTCAAATCATTTCGTATTATACATTCATGCGTCAATACCATCAAGCAAGTTGATGATGAGTCGGTGTTTTAGCATCAACACTGGAAAAGGTGTTTTAACTGACCTCAGTGAAAAAATTAATTTAATCAATTTTGTTCTAATGAACAGAGATGCTTTCTTACAATCTAATGTCTAAATCAATACAAATCAATTACATACATGTATGTCATAAAAGTAGACGGTTGTAACTTTGGGAATACGAAATAAAGTGCAACCGTCTGAAAAAGTCCTGAAAAGCCAAGAGAAATTAAGAAACAAAACTTGTGTTTAATGTCGTGCTGCGTCTGCAGCTTCTTAGTTTGAAATAACTGAAATGGAAACAAATTTAGGGGAAAGTGTTACCTGTTCTGGATGGTGATCCATCATGGCTGCTCTGAAACAAGAGTCCTGCATCAAAGAACACATTCCTCGAATCCTTCCCTCTACCTGGTGTGCAGCCTGTGTCATATTGCTCCACAACATCCCATATCTAATCAAAAAGGTGGATTGGAAATAAAATGTCACAACACAAGACAGGGCACTAGAGCGTCACACTCGTTTTTGAAACAAGACATAGTTATCTCACAGAGAGCTCTTCTGTAAGTGTCACAACTCCTTACTTGTCAATTTTTTTTCATATCCCAGAATAAACAGCAGAATGTTTTGACTTTTGCTTTAGGTTTGGGTTATAGTATTTTCGTTTTGCTCTATCACTATCAAATTCTTATAAACAGAATAAAAATTTGCCTTTTTCTGCGTGAGGCGGCTCTTGTTGTTCAATATGTAGACGGCGTTGTCAACAGCCACCATTGCCACTCGGGCCCCTGGATCTCCTTTTACCACCACATTGATAGTCTTCCCGGGTTCATAACTCGCGGCAGACGTTTCCATTTCCAGTGTCAGCTAACGGGTAGACAAACAGAACATTTACATTTTCTTTACCATTTCTCCAAAATCATGCTTTCAGTGTCTCTCACCTTTCCCATGCAGGTGTCGGTCACATCCACCCAAACAGAATCTGACACCAGTTCATTTGAACTTGTATGGTAGTAGGCTACAATGCGGAACGATGGCAGCATTTCTTTTGTAATGTGAAACGTCTCAGACATTTGGTTTAGATTAGCATTTTTTCGTCTGAAATGTTTCACCAGCTGACCTCTGCTTAATACCTAGGAAAACAAACTTGTTCATTAATCCCTCACTATTTAGACAAAACAACAAAGAATCGTGTGCATATGCAAACTGCAGACCATCTCTCACCAGGTATGTGATGTGTTTTTCCTGACTTTCTGGATTCTTGAAGTGGACTTCGACTTTCATGTGTTCCCCTACCTTCACTTCTGCTGTGTAAAGACCTGAAATATTGTTTCACACATTGATGCACATATTTAATATGCTATATTTTCCATGGCTGGTATTATTTAAATTGTTCTTATTGAGGACAACACTTACTTAGGTGAAGTAAACTGTTTGAGAATTTAAATGGATGAGCAACCATTGTGGTCCTTGCTTGTCTATTTGGTGCATCTGCAGGATAATTAGTCTGCGCCTGTGGAAAATCAATTGAATTAAGGTTTTTAAATCTTAAAGACAATATTTTCAAGACATCTAAAGTGATGTAGTTCCAGTTCTTTACCCTTATCAAGACAAACATATTCACGTGCAAATGTTAAAGTTGAAGAAGTGGTGAGTTGTAATGTAGCAATAATAATAATAATAATAATAATAATAATAATACAAAAAGCAAGATTCTATACATGAAAAGATTCAAACAAACAAAAAATTTACCCCACATGGGTAAATTTCTGAAAACATACTGTGATTTGCAGACTTTCTGACGCCGTCTTGGCGTGGTTCAAAGGAAGCATCGCCATCCCATTGCTTCCAGTGGTGGCCGAAACTTCCCCGGGATTACCGATCACAGGTATGCCCACTGCTGGAGAACCATCTGGATTCAAAACTTCCACCTGTCATTGGCAACAGGAGAACTTTAATGGTGTTATGTAATTAATGTAATATACGTCTAATAACTCTGACTTATATCAACAATAGTACAATGACATAATTTAATAATCACAATGTTTTTTTTTATTGGATAGTTGTACTTTACCGTTACGTCAAACGAGTACCCTGGTTTGTAATATTTGGGTGTCCTTTTGAAGTGGATGGTGTAAGGGGATTGGACAATCTTGATTCCTCTTAATTCTGCCTCCACCATTTCACTGCCTGTCAGGAATAAGCATGGTCTATGTAGACAGGCTTAGCACCTTTTCACATTTCAGCTGCATTAAATGGTATGCTATTTTAGGGACATTTCTCTGTATTTAAAGGTATAGAAATAAAGCCTAATTCATCAACTATCTTTTCACTCCATTTAGTAATTAAGGAAGTTGCATTTTTGAGAAACACATTTAGTTTTGAAAAATTAATTAATTTAAACAATGTTGTTAATGTCACACCTGAATATCTGAGACAGAAAAAGAGATATTTTGTCATAAATTAATGGGCGTTTGTTAGTTTCCACAATCCAATCTTATTTATTTTATTGTTTATCTTTTAACGTGAAAGAAAAAAAGAAGAAGAAAATCAAGTTAAATCTGAAACAAATCTGCAGTCGTCCCACACATCTAATCGCTGAGGCTCATTGTGATTCATAGTGGTTTTCTTGAATCATGATTTTCTTAATCATTATTTTCCAGTTAGCTGCTGAGATCTCAGTTGACGTTTGATCAGCTGAGGAAAGGGGCCATGTGATCATGCTTTCATTTCATCTCTGGCTATCCTGTACTGAAATGGATGGAACATTGTCCTGAACAAAAATCCCTTAGATGCAGAGATTTTTCCTGTTCAACTATTTCAAGCAAATGTTGTTCGAGAATTGATTTTGAATGGACATTCAACCTGAAAACATTGCAATTGCATTTAATAATTGTAAATCTTGTACCTCGTTTAGCATACAGAGAATTTAGTACTGCACCAATCAGTTTTCATTCTTTTCCATGACCATCTCTGATAGTGTTCCTTCTACTTCCATGCCTAAAGCCTGAAAACATATTTTTAAACTTTTATTTCTGCTTTCCAACACTATTTTTTTTTTTATCATTAGATGAAATTGGAAACATCTGGGTCGTTGGCCGTGTGATGTTTCAACACATGACATTATTTTGCTCTATTTTATAGAATGTGCCCAAAAACATCATTACGTGGAATAATACTGCACAAAACTGCTTACAGCTGCTTAAAGAACATCTCAGATTAGAATAATACGTCAAAGCAATAAAATCAATTTTAATACAGAAAAGTGGGTTTGATGAAAAGCAGTTAATACCTGCTTCAAGGTTATCTTTGAAACACACTTTTAATCTCAGATTAGCCTCCATTTATAGCATATTGTAATGCATTAAATATGACTTTTTCACCAATCCTCTCTCTCTCTATGCTCATTTACAATGGCAGCCTGAGAACTGAAACAATTTTTTTTGTCTCTTGCTGCTGCACAGGCAAAGTAAATATTGAAATCACACCAATTTAAAATTGTGTAAATAAAATGCACAAGGACATTTTGTATGTTTTCTTTTTCTTCTGCCTCATGGTCTCAAAGTTCAATGCAGTGTCTCTTACCACTCTCAGTCAGCACACTGACAGATACATATATGGACCTTCCGACCAGATCGAGAATGTTTTGGTGGATTTCTGTGATATGTTCCTTCAGTAGAGTTATCATTCCCTTGCCATTTTGGATCTGTAAAAATATGCAAGGATTAGGCAAAAAACCCCACAAAATATTCAATACATGAATTTGCATGAAACCAGGAACGGATAGAAACTCCCATTACACAAACACATTTATAAAAGTTGTGGTTGGGTTTAAAACACATTTTTCTGTCACTGAAGCAGTCCTGGATTGCTGGTCAAAGTTCATTTTGAAATATGATTCAATCTTAATTTTATTTTTATGTGCCATTGAAGGGGTTTCCCACTCTTAGACAAGGAAGCCCTGCACAAAAACTGATAACAGGATCCTTCAGAGTCTGCTTGATGCAGCTCTCATTGAATAATTCACATTTTCTTTTGTAATGTCAACCGTCACAGACATATAGTTTAGATATGTCTATATCTAAATTATATGTTTAGATATAGTTTAGAGGCCAAGAAAAATGTATGAACCAGCTTAACTTTTAAACGATAGCGTTTAGATTTTGGCTAAAAATAAATACTCCTTTGAATGGGGTGAATCTTTGAGGGGACTGGGAAAAATTAAGTGAAAAAAAAAACCAACTAAAGCTCACTAGTAAACTTGCAGACAAGAAATGCAGATCAACTGCATGAAGGTACTTACCGGGACTCTTTGAAGGGAACTTGGAAAGCTCTTTTTACTATCGCCGGTCATGAGCCCAAACACCGCATAAGCGGTCCCATCCACCTTTTTACCAAACGTATACCTTAAACCAGACAAGAACGGTCAACATGTCTCTAAGAAAAACAGGACAATCAAAGTTCTGCATCGACCTACGTAGATTTGATGGTGATATTGAGGGCATTGCTGTCAACGTAGAAGAAGGGGCTCTGAGACGGAAGCAACAATTTAACTTCAAAGCTGGGAAGCACTGCGAAACAGGACGGCATTTTTGGTGTATGAAATCATTTAGAATAGTTGGTCTTTATTAAAATGAAGAACTTAAAAGGGATTTACCATATTCTTTAACTTCAAACTCTGTAGTGAAACTTTCTGCTGCATTGCTGTGAAAGTTGGCTACCATCCTCCAATTTCCAAAGCTGCACTCAAATACAACAAAAAGTAAGAGGTAGCTCTCTGGTGGATAAATAATACGAGTTTAAACATTTCAAAGATTTATCCAAGATTTAGCCCTTCACCTGACAATATTACCCAGACGGTACTCATCCGCGTAGATTCCTGACGGCATCTTCCTGAGTGAGATAATCTTAGACTCTATAACAATTCCAACAGGGGTCTAAAAATAAACACAAAAAGAAAATTTCTTCAAGAGAAAAAGTCATTTATTTTATTTTATGGTCTGAAGGTCTGGTCTATGTCTGCAGGGTTGACTCACTGGTTTAGATTTGGTTTCTTTATAGTTTGTTACATAACATAAGTGATTTTATTATGCTGTGGTAAAACGCCGCCACATTTGCAAGTGAGAAAAAGTAATTGTTCACATTTACTTTGGTCTGGTAAAGATCTCTGAGAACTGTAAAGCTTTCTCTTTCATTGTTGTGTCATCAAACAAGTAACGTCTTAGAAAAATCCAAAACGACAAAACAGACATGCTAATTAGTAAATCAATTAATCACAAACTAGTCAAATAACAAAAATAATAAACTTAAAGACGAAAGAGCTGGTATCACTCTTGCGACAATCATGAATATTCCCAAGTACATGTGGCACCCTTTGTTAAGTCTCATTTTGTGTTATTCTTCACTAGGACTTTTTTCAAACTCCACTTACTTTGGATACAAACATCCGCCAACATTTATTTTTGCCGGTGTGCAGCAGCAGTGGTGTAGCTATGAGACTGACTGACTGACTGACTGCCTGACTGACGCTTCAAGGCATTTTACAGCAGAAGTAGCAAGTTAGCGATGAAAAGCTCAGTCAGCCTTGAACAGCAGCTCATCTAAAGCGTTGCTTCGAGTTGGTGACAAAAACAAACTCTTATGGCACTACGGTTAATGGCAGGTGTAACTGAAGTGGAATCGTAATATTTTCACAATTATGTGAAAAACATAAAGGAACATTTATCCAGTAATGGGTAAGATGCCTGTGGACAAGGGGTCAATCTCAAACGAATGGTTCCCTTTGTGCGTTTCCCTTTCGGCAACAATTGAAATGCAAAACTAATCAGAGAAAATCCACCCAGGTTCTATGCATTATTTTTTTGGACGTGGTCGCCTTTCTTAATGCCACCATGAGCAACTGTGACAACATGGGTCGTAACCTCTTGTTGACTGATCTGCAGACTAGAACAACTGCATTTCTGAAATTGGTACAAAAAAGAAAAAAAATTTGCCAGCTTTGGAAAATGCTACAAGAGACGCTTGGCTAAATGAGGTGATGCAAAAATATCAACACAAAATAAACATACTCAAATTAAAGGGTGGATATGCATATAAATACAATAATAAATTGCAATAATAATGGAAATAATAAATGTTATCTAATATATGTTATAAAACATTTTTCAAGTGGCTGTTCAGTGATACAATTTACAAAAAAACAGCAACAGCAATCAATCAGGGAGTTATTTTACATTAAAAGCAATTCAGGTAAAATATCTTGTACTGTACCACAATTTCAAAGTTGATTGAAGTAGCCGATTGGGACTGCATGTCGGGCCACATCGCAAAAATCCTGTAGCGAACTGTCACAGGTGCAGAAACAAACAGATTATTCACTTTCCATTGGTTTCTGAGTAGCATGTTGCACATAAAAACAAATAGAAACAAGTAGTTCTTTTTACATCATTTCTTCTCCTATTTTTCTATACTTTTATGTGATGCTACATTTATGTTTGGTGTTTTTTTTTTATTATCTTCATTTGTTTGAGCAGTGTTTTGATATGAATGGTCTTGAACACTAAGATTAAAATACTCCAACAACATTTGTTACGGCAGATTGTTCTGGCTTTGGACTTACCTGGGCTGCTGGGTGTGTAGATGGGTTTGTCAGTCTGAATGAAAATGAAGCCAGATTGGAAGGAAACTAACACGACTTTTTCAAGCAATTGACCAGGGAATTGTGCCTGAAGAGTGACGTAGTGCTTTCCGTTACGGTCATTGTCAAATGTGTCAGGAGGAATCTGAGAATAACAAGCAATTGATTAAGACATGTGGCTAATGAGCTAATGAAGCAGAGACGTCTAAGAGCTGCAGTAGACGGGTCTTTGAGCACAACTTCTGTAGATTTTAATGGCAACTTGCATCTCTTCCTGAGGCACTACTGCCGTCCTTGAGCTTGAGACTACAGCTGTAGACAAAAAAAGGTAAACACTGGACCCATTTCTGAGCTACTGGATTTGAATTAGTCTGCATCTAGATTTACAAGCTTTGGCCCAAAAATGTCCAATATTTAAACTGAGCTGAATGTAATTCTGCATCTTCTCATATGCGTTACCTATTGCATAGAAATGATAATGAGTCATGCTGTAATATGTTCTACAATGTCCCATATTTAGCTGTTATATTACTAAAAAGAAAGTCCAATATTTTAAATGAGTTGTGTCCACTGGCATTAGATCAGTGCAGCAGCTGATGAAGCTGCACCTGTAAATAAATAAATTCAAACATAACAACGTGCATCACCATTTAAACGTATGCACGGCCCTCGTTTGTATACATTATGACCACAATCATCAATTTATTTTATTTAAAATTAGTTGGTCAACAGAAAGTTGACCAGCTAACTTCAGTGTTTCGTGGTTTGAAGATACTCCTGAGGCCAACATCAAAATTTGGAGGAATAAAAAAGACAAAAGAAATGAGAGCAGGAGACAGTTCTAGTTTGGACCCAAGTTAAACCAGAATGCTTGGATCAGGAGGCAGAAGTTCATTTAGCAAGGAAAACATTTAGAGTTCTGACTCCATTCTTTGTCATAAAAAAAGTTTGGATAATTCCAGGAAAAATGCATTTTACCACAATTTTTGCAAAGGCCTGGAAGTTCGTTTGATGCGTTAGAGTCACGGATGCGGATGCCAATGTTGTGACTTTGGTTGGATGGTTCTTCACATATATTTGAACGTTCACATTTGGATTTGTATTCCCATTGTCTTGAATCTCAATGAAAATTCTTTCTTCTGTTCCGATTCTCAGCAGGTTGGGGGCAGACATCACATTTCTGAAAGAAGGACCCATAGTTTAGACGTCTGTCACAGCAGTATGAAAGCTGTTCTTTTCCATCTTTGAGTTGGCTTTTTCCAATACTGCAAGAATTACCCTTAAGACTGAACAGACATGTATAAGTAACACAAATGTACTTGATATAAAATAAATTTCTTTGGAAAACACCATCTTTGAAAACATTCTTTAATACCTTACCAATACAACCTTAACAGTGCATCAATCTAACAGCCATGTACACTGATGGCGTAACAAAAAAAAAAAAATCTCCCCGTGCCACAATTATCATTTCTGATCGTGACCTTGATCCTGTATTGATTAGATCAATAAAATGTTTCATCATGAGCCTGTATCTGTGTGTAAAGTCTGGTGAAATTCTGCTCTGAGTAAACAAAAAACAAGATGTGCTCCAATTTTCTCATAGATTATTAACCAAAGGACTGTGGATTATTGTCAAAAAATACAACTCAAACGAACCTTCTGACCCAGTTTTAATTTTGATGTACTGTGATATACAATATGTCACAGGGAGAAAATCAGTGACTAAAACATGTTAAAACAGTGTAAATTGGTCTATGGTCTGCTTGAGGCAACGGCTAAAACTTTAAAAAAAATGTCTATAAAATTAAATCTACAGTAAATGTTATCCATTCTGCACATCAGTAAACACCTTCAGTCCTTACTGTTTAAGAAAGTGTTCAATAAATGCAAAACAGTTTCAGAACCACATTCTAAAATAAATCTTAAAATAAAAGTTCCAACACAAGCAACTGGCAGAAACACTACCATAAAAAAATTAGTAAAAGTAGCTTATATCCTGTTTATTAAACTCTAAATATGCTCTGAATGCGACAACAAATGTTAGCCTGATCTGATAAAGCAGCACATGATTCATCATGATTAAAAACAAGACATCAACTCGACATAATAGACTTACAAGTCATGTGAATTCACTGCTCATAAATATATGAGCGGGAGGCCTACTTACGTCGGAGCACCAGCTGCTGGTGAGAAAAGGGAGAAAAACGGGAGGCAGGCGATCAGCCGGAGCTGGAGCCAACACATCCTCCTGTCTGATCCCATCCTGCTCTGAGTGGCTTCACTCGATCTGTGGCTCCGGTTAAAACTGCTGCAATTTGTTCCTCCCATTTCTCCTCTCACCCAGTTACAGATTTTTTAGACGTTGAATTTTTAACAGCAAATTTTTAGACGTTGAATTTTTTTTACAGCGAAATTTTAGACGTTGAATTTTTAACAGCGAATTTTTAGACGTTGAATTTTTTACAGCGAATTTTTAGAAGTTGAATTTTTTTTACAGCGAATTTTTAGACGTTGAATTTTTTTTACAACGAATTTTTAGACGTTGAATTTTTTACAGCGAATTTTTAGAAGTTGAATTTTTTTTACAGCGAATTTTTAGACGTTGAATTTTTAACAGCGAATTTTTTATCACTGAATTTTTTTACGTTGAAAATTCAGAGGCATTTTTTATTCAAATCCTGATGGCACATATTTACTTCCATATGTGGAAGCCATTTTGAACTCATCTGTGTTGTTGCAACATATTTAGAATTTATATGGTATTTTAGGCTTGAATAGCTCCTTTTATAGGTTAACTCCGTTTTGCACAGTTTGGACACAACCATAGTGCTTTCCGGAGTCCCATCAAATCATTGATTGAAACCAAAATCAACCCCCAATGGGCCAAGAGAAGCAACTTTGTCATCCATCAGTGCTCAATCAGAAAAGTTACTGCTGAGCTGTTGATGCTCCAACAACAGAAAAACATTGCTAAATTTGTGGCACCTCACTTGTGAGGTGCCACAAATTCATTGTCTTTCGTCTTTAAGTTTATTATTTTTGTTATTTGACTAGTTTGTGATTAATTGATTTACTAATTAGCATGTCTGTTTTGTCGTTTTGGATTTTTCTAAGACGTTACTTGTTTGATGACACAACAATGAAAGAGAAAGCTTTACAGTTCTCAGAGATCTAACCCTAACCCTAACCTAACCCTAACCCTAAGTATCACCAAATATGACACAAAAGGTATACTAAATACTGCAGTATTTAGTATACCTTTTGTGTCATATTTGGTGATACTTTTAATTTAGTTTAAAAAATCAGAAAAAATGGTTAAATTCTGAAATATTAATCATCTTTTAATTACATACAAATCTGTGTCAGGCTTTTTAATCTCTGATGTTCTGAAGCCAAAAAAAAATCTGAGTATCAGAGAGTCGAGTAGGTCTATTCAGAGTATATGCTTTTTAAATCTTTTGGGTTCTCACTAAAACCAGGAAGATAGAGACATAACACCAGTTTTAAAGTCCCTCCACTGGCTCCCTGTAGCTCAAAGAATAGATTTTAAAATATTGTTGTTAGTTTATAAATCACTGAACGGTTTAGCACCACATTACATCAAAGATCTGCTGTTGTTGTATCAACCTTCCAGACTCCTCAGGTCTTCTGGTTCTGGTCTGCTTTGCATCCCCAGAACCAGAACCAAGAGAGGAGAAGCAGCTTTCAGCATCTATGCACCAAAACTTTGGAACAAACTTCCAGAAAACTGTAAAACAGCGAAAACCCTGACTTCCTTTAATTCTCAACTAAAAACACACCTGTTTAGAGTTTTATTTGAAATGTAATATGTAACAATGTATTGTTTATTCCATGATGCATGACTTTGTGTTTTTGTGTTTATGATGTAAAGCACTTTGAAATGCCTTGCTGCTGAAATGTGCTATACAAATAAAATTTGATTGATTGATTTTTACTGTTAATCCTGCGGTCTGAAACAAGACCTTGGGTACAAACTGCGACTCAGCCACCCACTCAACACAAACAGACATACCGCTCCTACCCACACAAACTCACACACGTCCACCTACCCCTGCACCCGCTGTACAAATATTTGAAGGTCATTCAACTCAATTTTCTGGAAGTTTTACTGTAACATAGGGCTCCACAGTGAATAACAAAGATGTCATATGTTCACAACACAGATTGAGGCCTTGTCACTGTGACTGTCTGGCTAATTTGTTGTGTTGTTGTGTGTCCATTCACAAACAGACCCTTTGCATCTTTAAAGAAAAAGGATTAATCTGACATTTGTCGATACGTTTATAATTGCATTTATAAAGTGAAACGGCAACTCAAGCTGTCAGACATGTATTGGTGAAAAAGTTGCAGTATTTGTGTAAAAGCAAACAAAACAGGAAATATGGTGAGTTAGATAATTAAACTGTTCGGCTTTATGTGTTTCTGAGTTGTTTGTTTCTTTGCTGATGTATATATTCGGTTATTTCATCATTGTCAGTGTTCGGCATAATTTCCTTAGCATATGTCCTTTTAGTTTTGTTCAGTTTTCACTTAGTTTGCTTCACCAGCTACTTGAACTTTGATCCTTGGAAACACCAATAAATAAAGACAATAGTATGACCAGAACAAATGCACCCAATTTAGACTAATCAATCTAAGTAATTATGATTTCAAACATTTTGCATATATTTGTTCAAATTTACATATTACTTTTCTAGCTTATCTTTATATACATGCAATCAGTTCAACTACATGTCTTTCGATATTTTAATTTTTTAATTTGAGGAATTGTTATTAAATAGACTTAGACTTAGACTTCCTTTATTGTCATTGTACAAAAAAAACACAAGGTGAATCTTGACAACAAAATGTCGTTACTTGGCTACCAGTGTAGCAGAGCTAAAACCTTATACTACCCAATAAATAAATAAATACAATACAAGTGCCATAGAATACACAGGTTCAGTGTTGTGAAAAAAACTAAACTAAAGTGCATGTATTGACCATGTCCATGGGGGGGTCATTTGGTTTGTGAGTGTGGAGGGGTGTTATGTGGCGTTAAGCAGTCTGATGGCCCGGGGGAAGAAACTGTTCAGTAGTCTGGTTGTTCTGCACAAGATGCTGCAGAACCTTCTTCCAGACTCCAGGGGGGAAAACAGTCCATGGTTGAGGTGGGTGGGGTCGGAGAGGATCTGGTGAGCGCGAGATAGTGTGTATTTGTTATGTACCCAAATTATTGAGGTGGCAAAATAATAAAGCAACATGTTGAATGTTGAATGATACTTCTGCTCTGTAATACTCAAGAATGTTCCTTGTGTTAAACTAAGGCCTTCTTTACTTCAATTATTGGCTGATTAACAGAGTTTTGCTGAACATAAATCATCCAGTTCGGTGTTGGGGAAACTCTGTGCTCAGCTGTTGACATTAAACGGTAAATTTGAATTCTGTGAAGTTATCTGTAATAACTCCTTTACTGCAGTGAAAAGGATATGTGTGTGAGCTGGATCAGCTGCCTCTACATTTGATTTTGCCGTAGCTATTCTTGTAGATTGTAGACCCGAGAAAGCCCTGTAGCAAAGTGAATTGAAGCACTTTTATTCTGAGTGGATTTAAATGGCTAAAACTGAAGCTAAAACATGACATGTTCTTTCATAATTTAGACGACTATTTGCACCAATAGCTTCAAATCACCCAACAAAACAAAAATATTTAAAGAACCTGCACAGGGTGATATAGGATATAACATTACTGATATGTTATATCCTATATCACCTTTAAAGGTGTTAAATTGGCGCAATTAGAAGTTGTTCTTCAGTTCAGCTCATCTCTTTCACCTTTCTTTCTGGCATGTTGACTAATTTAACCCAGTCCTGTCTCTTTTGCTCTGTCTGTTTATTCTTTCTTCCATTTTTTTTGCTGATCCTTTCTTCCTATTCTCTCAACATGCAAACCATCAGACTGATCCAACCTTTATTTATGCGGCAAAAAAAAAAAAAAAAACACTGGCTGCACAGTGGCGCAGTTGGTTGCGTCTGTTGTAGCCTTCCCTGTTTGTTCTGTGTTGCTTATTACTTTAATATTATTAAAATAATAATAATATGTTAAAGAATGTGTCATCACTTTTCAGACGTGAGACAAATAAATAAACCACTAAGTACATGACTAAATCAAGTGAAATGACAAAGGGAAAACGTATTTAAAACATTTACTCTATGCAGGCATCGAAAGTTAAGATTCTCAAACAAAAGACAACGTCATATTTTGATTAATATATTTTTATTTTAGCTCTTATACAGTCCACTCTGTTTGCAACCTTTACAAACATTGCAAAAAAAACATTATTGGATACGTGACCATTGTTTTCTTGAGTTCAGTTATTGCTGACATGCAAAAATGCTGTACTGCTCGACCATTTCCTCCATGCCGAGGCACGTCGGACGATGTTCTTCTGTCTGGCACTCAGCTTCTGAGGGCCAGTACTCGATCCAGGTCCTCTCCCCGAGCACGTACTGGAACCTGGGAGTAGGGACACACACACACACGGGAAAAGTTAAAGTAAGTATTTTTTCAGCATCCAGATCAAAAGCTACATGAACTTCATATTATTTAATAATTTAGATGCAACATTGTGCCAGCTTGTTAATGGCAACAAGGAACTTATGGTGTCTCTGCAACATGCTAAGGGTCATTTGTTTGTCCCTTCGTGTGAGTCAATGTTCACACACGCGTTGTGTAATTCTTTTTGACAAAAATCATAAATTGTAAGTTTTATCCTCAGTAAACCCTTAAAAAACCCTTTCAAATATAACATTATGAACTCAAACTTCCCAGTGGCGTTCAGGATATTTTTTATGTTTAGTTCTCTGAGCAGAACTTTAGCTTTTAATGAGCAGTGATCATTTGAAATGATCCCCTTGCATGAGCCACAACTTACGCTAGCTTCTGGTCGTCTCTGTGAATGTCTTTGGATGATCCCATGATGAGGTAAGTTTTGCCATTTTCCAGCCTTAAAGTGTCTCTGCAGTGCTGATAACTGAGGAATGAACGCAGCTGACCAGTAGGACCAACATCAGCGCTTCCTGTGGTCACATTGTGGAACAAGAAGGCAAAGCGAGTGAGGATCTTCAGGTCACTGAAGGATTTGATAATTCAAAAATCAAATAATCAAATCAATACCCACCTTCTTTAATAACTTGCACTATGCGCATTATGTACAAGTCTGTAGACAACTCAAAGTTACTCCCTTCCACCATAACTTTGTACGCTGTGGGCAGACATTGTACAGGTTTGAGATCTCTTC